CCGGCCGGTGTACCGGCTCGTTCGTGTCTCGGTGCTAGTCATTTCGCGACGGGCCTTAATCTGCCGCCCAACGTCTATCCTCAGCCCCAATCACAGGCCGTCTCACCGCTTGCCTACTACAACGAGCCAGTCTCGTGTTGCCAGGTCGGACCGGCCGAGTCGTCCTCGCCGTCCGGGCAACACCGCCACCATGTCTACCCCCATCCGACGCACGCTGCCCCCTGCCTCGGCCCATCCCACGCCGCCCCACACACCTCCAACCAGTCGGTCTATACACCCTGTCCATCTCATGCCTCGGCCAGTGCCTCGAGGCATTCGGTGCCACTCCACCCCTCTCAGACTCGTAGCCACGACTTCACCCACCTTCCCACGCATCCTTCCGTCGGCATCACCGCCAACAACCAATCTGCCGGCTCCACCCAATCCCAGTCTGGGGGACTCGGCTCATCCCACGTACGCTACGATACACACACCAACCCCCTCGCAACCTACTACCACAACCAGGCTTCATATCCTTCCTCCTCGTGCCCTAGCAACAACTATCCTCCCGTTGCCATGGCGGCCGCAGCTGCAGCCGCCGCAGCCGCTGCCGCCGCCTCTGCCTTCCCGCCACTCTACACTCGAGTGCCCTCAGCGGCCGTCGAGTTCTACACGTCCGGCGAGGACGACTGCTCCAACACTGGCTACACCCTCGGCCAAACCGTCTACCCGCAAGACACTCCAGCCTCGGGCATGGCAACAGTCACAGCTCCCGTCACCGTCACTACCAGATCCAATTGGTCGAGGCTCGCTGACTCCGACTGTCCCGTCCTACAAGCCGGGGTCGGTCGTCACGGTCCCGTCTGTCCTTCCGCCCCCCGCTCGGCAACCGGACACCTCTACCCTCCCAAACACATACATCCAGTCGCCTATCCGGCCACAGGCAACGCCCCTCTTCCCGGTACCTATCGCGAGGCCCTCACGCCCACGCCAACCCCTACCACAAACGTCACCACAACTACCACAACCACCACCACCACCACCAGCACCACTACACCGGCCACCACCACCAGCGTCACCTCCGTCACCTGCTCCAACACGACGGCAGCGAGCAACACCAACATGTCCTCCTGCAGCGCCAATAGCAACCCAACAAGCAAATCTCTCTCTTCATCCTCTACCTCATTATTGTCGTCATCGTCGTCATCGTCCTCTTCTTCTTCCTCCTCTTCCTCCTCGTCCTCTTCCTCCTGCTCGTCCTCCGTGCTCAGTTTGTCGTCAAGCTACCCCTTCGCCGTCTCCAAGTGTACAGCTCAACCCGGCGACGAGTGGTCGTCGGATGGCGCAACCTCAAACTGCTGCCTCGTGTTGTCCACCGCGTCACATATGCCCGCCCGTCTGACCGCCTCGTCTTCGCCTCAATTCGGCGGTCTCTGTGGCAGCACCCCGTCAACTTCACCCTGTGCCGAGAGCCAGCAACCAGCCTCCGGTTGCCTGGTGCCCGACGAATTGGTCGGCTCAGCCGTTGCCTGTTCGCATGCATACCAAGCCAACATCACTCAGCATCCACTCCAGCCTCGGCTTCAACCGCAACCGCAATCGCACTCGCAGACCCGGAGCCAACAACAACAACAACAACAACACCACCACCAACATCATCATCATCATCATCATCATCAACAACAACAACAACACCAGCAACATCTATCGCTTCACCACCAACCTTCTCACCAGCATCAGCACCAGCACCAACAGCCTCCCCAGCTTGGCTTTTTGGAATTGGCCGATGCCGGCGGTGCCAGCGCAGACTTGTCCGTCTACCCCCAAGCCTCCGGCGGCTACGTCTCCGGTCCCAGCGACCAGCGCCCGCTGGAGCCCCACTTTCCGGCCGCCATCTCCTCCTCCGACCTAACTTACTCTTTCGGCCCACCTGGCGACCAACAAATCACCAGCGGAACCAGCCTCTTGGCCCGCTTCGAGCAGGCGCGAGCCTTGCATCTCACCGGTACCGGTGTCGCGGTCGGTGCCGGTGCCAGTGCCGGCGCCGGCGCCGGAAACTCTGGCAGTGGTGGCAGTTGCAGTAGTCACAGCAACAGCAGTTGCAGTAGCCACAGCAACAGTCATCTGGTGCTGCAGTCGAGTCTGGGGCCAAACGAGAGTCAGTCGACGACCTCGCCGCCGGGCCAGGGGCAACTGGAGGAGTCGGATCCGCTGCTTTTGCTCCTGTTGCAAACCAGCGGTCCCGGCAGTCACGCCGACCTTGGCAACGCCAGCGGAAACGGTCTCCTCGACCCGACTCGCCTCAGCAACACGAGCAGCGCGTCCGGTGGGGACATCGTGTCACCGGCCGGCAACCGGCGGAAGCGAGGCCTTGAGTCCACCGGGTCGGACGACTTTTCCGTTTCTGCTGGACAGGTTTCGCGCTCTTTCGACCGGTCTACAGCTGGTGGAGGCTTCTCGGCCCTCCTCGGCGACGGCGAAGGGGCCGACGACTCCGAGGCGAATGGCAACGCGGCGACGGCGACGATGACGGCGACGGCGAATGCAACTGCGACTGCGGCCGCGATGACGAGGAGCAAGACGAAGACGAAAGCGAAACCGAAGATGAAGGGTAAAACAAAGACGAAGGCGAAGGCGAAGGCGAAAGCGAAGGCGAAGGCGAAGGCGAAGGTAAGCACGAGGGCGAGGGCGAGGGCGAAGGCGAAAACGGCTGATGCGAGCCAACGAGACAGGCCGAGTCGGACGGAGATCGAGGCTGCAGCTCCCACCGCCGAGTACACTCTTCTCACCGGCGCACAGACTGGCTCGAGTTCGCTCTACGCTTCCGCTCTCGTCACCGCGTCAGTCTACGGCGCGGGTGAGCTGATGCTGGCACGGGAGACGGAGATGGAAGCCCACGAACCG